GCTGCTCAAGTTGTACCAAAAGGCCGCTGCATGCTTTATGCAAATCCTTCTTCATTTGTTGTGTGCAAATCGTCGTTATGTCGCCCTCACGTTTCCCGTTCAGTATCACCTGTTTCTCCTTACTGTAAAATTTCATAATTAGTTGCATAAAATTCCAAGAAATATCACATAATGTCGTCAACCATTTAATTATGAGCATGGCCTCATGATCATTAAGAGGGAGAAGGAAGAAATCTGCAATTATCTCTTGGTCCTGCAGCAATAGTTTCTCCTGCGGGCGCCTACGATCGCAATTTAAAATCTGTCCGTCGACGACCTTAACGTTAAACCTGCTGCAATTCTCAATAGGTAAGGCCATCTGGATAGTAACCTTACTATTTAGAAAGTTATTAGAACTGCCCGTGTCGACGAGAACAGTGATCGGTTGTTGTTTGAGAAGGCCTCCAACTTTCATCGTTTGCGGGTTTGAGTAGCCGGCTAGTGCATGTACCGTAACTTCAGTCGGTTGTGGGTCTTCTTCTGCATCTTCTTCTTCATGTTCAAGGCTTTCTTCTGGATGTTCAATGACCTCTTCTTCTATTGGTTCAATCATAAGAAGTCTCCCTTTACTACAGCGATGCTCACGGCTCCACGGCTCGTCACAATGCCAACATAACCCCTTCGCATATGACTCCCGAAGCTCTTCTCTTGTTAACCTCTTTGGTGTAGGGACTTGGTCAATAGTAGGGGGGATTGAGGGCTTCAATATTACTGGTTGAGGAGCGACCCTAGTCCTCCGAGCTTCATGGTTCAATTGCTCCTCTTGATGTCGTGCGAAAGAGATGGCTGCCATAAGCGTATACGGTTGTCGCGCTTTAACTTCTCTTCGGATCTCCGGCTTCAAGCTCTCAATGAAGGTCCTCAATAGCTGTTTTTGAGACCAATCATGAGTATGATTAGATAACCTTTCAAACCTGGTTTGGTACTCCTGAATGGTGGAAGTTTGTCGGATCTTTGCTAGTTGTCCATCAATATTCTCGTAATCGGTTGGTCTGAAGCGGATCAGCAGTCCTTCTTTGAATTGTTGCCATGAAAGGACTCCATAAGTATGTTCAAACCAGTCAAACCACTGTATAGCATCCCCTTCAAGATGTATAGCTGCAATTTTTACCATAGATACATCCGCGGTTTTGTGGTACCGAAAATATCGCTCCGCGTGCGAGATCCAACCAATCGGGTCTCCTTCTTCCCATCTAGGGAAGTCCACTCTCACGCATGGATAGTTGGGGTCAGTCATATAGCCTCCCCTCCCTTGGAAGTCATCTATTCGGGCTTGGTGTGATTGGGCAAAGCTCTCTCCTTGATTTGATTTCTTCGGGCTTAGTGGTCGGCCCAATCTGAGTTCGGTAAAGAGCATCCGAATCTTATCCTCCATTCGCACCTCCAAGGCTTCGAATTTAGCATTGATTGCCTCCTTAGATGCCATAGTATATGCCCCCAAATCTCTCTTTTGTTGTTGGGTTAAAGGCATGTATAGGTTGAGAGAAGTGATGGTTGAAAGGGTTGGTGGATTGGTGGATGTAAGCTGCGGTTTAGGCTTGTTTTGTGGCTGTTTTGGGTGCAGTTTGAGGGTGTGGTTTGGTAGAGTTTTAGGGCTATGGATGAAAGTTTTGGATCTGTGGTAGATGGTAGCAAAGGTTTGACAGAAATCCGTGGAAGTTGCAGCAAGTATGTGCTGTCTTGTAAGAGTAGAATTGTCGTCGAAGAAACAACGGTTTCTCGACGTAATTTCCACCAAAAACTTGAGAAAATTGAGGAGGGAATTGATAACAAAATCACACTTTATATGACAGCAAGGATATCTAATTTAATCAAGAAAATTTCAGCAGTATAACAGCAAGGAAATTGGTGCAAGTTACAATTGCAGAATTATCGTCGAAAAATTTCAGCGGGCTACGATGAAAATTTGCAGCAACATAAAATCGTTTTTAGAGATGAATTTCTTAATAGATCGA